TTTGTATGTATGTACGTTGAGATACTTTCACAGCGTACGGAGCCAACCGCGCTAACCGGCAGTGTTGATTCTATGGTGCAGTGTTGAGTCTATGGGCAGTGTTTTAGAAACACATCAACAACAACGGTGTAAATTTCGATTTAAAGCTTTCGTGACTGCAGGGATTCCTCTTCTTGGTACTTTCGGTAAAGTCACGTAGAAGGGAAGTAATAAAAATAATTCTCACGACGTTTCGGCCACAACGCAAGCAGCCGTCCTCGGGTGAAGACCAGGTCTGTCGGGGAGACAGCGTCTGAATGCGTGGTGGTGTTTCATTCAGACGCTGTCTCCCCGACAGACCTGGTCTTCACCTGAGGACGGCTGCTTGCGTTGTGGCCGAAACGTCGTGAGAATTATTTTATTATGTTTTATTTTTATTATTTTATTACTTCTCTTCTACGTGACTTTACCGAAAGAACCAAGAAAAAAAAAACACAACGGTGTAATTGCCAGCTCAGGGGGGGGGGGGGGGGTGTGAGCGGCCGAGGGACGCAGGAATTGAGACGCACCCCCCCCCCCCCCCCCCCCATAGGGATGGCATCACTCCGAGGTGCCGTGTCTCTGACATCGCCGCCGTGGCGCCCAAGGGGAGTGGAGAGGAAGCGCCGGGCGCCACGAGCCGCACCTGTGCTGCTGTCACCATGGGGTGGGTTTCGGGGGGCAGAGGCCACGAGCAGGAGGGCCCCCTGCCAAATGCAGCAGGGTCCACCGCGGGCAAACGGTGCTCTTTAATGGGGGACAGCTGCGACGGCTTGAAGCACGCTCCATTTGGCACAGCTTTTCTCCAGTTGCTGCTGCTGCTGTAGCCGTGTTTCGCTTGGCGTGGCCTTGTGGTGCCGTAGCGTAGCGTCTCGTGCTGGCGATGGGAGCGCTCTGCCACCCGCTGCTGCTGCCGGTGCCGTCGGCGAACTGCAGCTGTGAGCGCGCGTGCGTCTCGGCCTGCGGGGACGAGGGCAACTCCACGTGCTCGTGCCGAACCTGCGACCCACTCTGCTCCAGGGTCCTCTTGGTGACCTGGTGAGAGGCGTCATTTGCGTCATTGCGGGTGATGTGGTTGACCGTGTGCAGAGACGCCAAGTCCACGCTCACGTCCCTGTGCTGCCGCTTCTGTGGCGACGGCAGCTTCAATGGCTGCGGATACTCTTCGCGCTTGTGCCTCTGGAAGCAGTCCTTCTGCAGTTCCTTGTTGGCCTTAAATCGAACCTGGCTCCTCTCCAGTTGCATCAGCGAGCAGGAACGCACGCAGCATTCTTCTACGATGCCGCCCAGCCCGCCCTGGCGCTCGCTCGGTTGCGCCGCGTTGAAACCATCGGTGCCGCACACGAACTGCAAGCGCCTCCACAAGCTTCGAGCCGCAGAGCGTCTTGGCCGAGCAGCGTTCACTCCACAGCGTGCACAGCGCCAGCCACAGCAGAGCCTGGCTGAGGTGGTGCGGACGCGGCTGTCTGCTTGAGTGGAGGAGGCCCATGGCGAGAGCGAGCGGCGCCGCCACTGCTGCGGCTGCCGTGATCGCGGTGACGGTAAGAACGGCGAAGCACGCCGTTGCTCTCTCTGCTTGCGGACTTTCAGCCCCCTCTCGCCTCGCCCCTTCTCTCTCACGCCTCGCCTCCTCTCTCGAGTACCACCTTCATGGGTCTGCGACGTTTCCTTCCAGAGTTATTGCCAAAAAAAACACACATCCCAGAATCCTCTCGGTTTGGGGTCCAAATGTTGTCGCTTATTATATCCCATGAGAAACGTCGCATCGAGTCAATGTAATTTAATTCTACTCGCCTGGACGAGTGGAATTAAATGGTGAAACTGGTTTTGCTGTGCTGTGTTAAATCAGATATTTGCATGACTGCATGTGTATTTAGAATCGACGTGTTTCGAATATTTGGCTGCTCTAAATGTCCACATGATAAGCCACTTTGTTGCGCTATCATCTGTGGCCAGGTCGCTTCTTATAAAAGCGCTTCATAGCTCAGTGGGATTTACGTGGTTGAAATAAAAAATAGTAAAAATAACAGCACCACCACTCCATGTACACAGAACATTTGACTGTGATCCTGACTGCAGTGCTCATCTCGATATGGTCGATGAAAGTGAATTACGTGGCTGCCGCTACGTTAAAAGGTTTCGTCACCTTTGGGTGGCATCAGTTGCTGCTCTGGCCCATCGGGAAATACAACAATGCCTTGATGGAGGCTCCATTGAAGATGCGTGCGACCCTCTCAACTGGCCATCTGACCCGAATGTTCGGTCCAACCCGAGCTGAATATCGAGTGGAACTGGGTGACCCTGGGGCTATTTGCTACAAAGCAACACTTTGTTTTTACAGCCCACGGTCAATCCACTGCTGGATGAAGGCCTCCCCACCATTGTGGTTCTTTGACCATATCCCACCACGGGTGGTCGATGCTGGTCGGTGAAGGTCGCGGGCAACCAGCCCTGACATCGCTCCCCAGTGGAGTCGTTGTTAGCCCTGGACAGGAATTGAACTCGGGTGGAGCCGGTTCGTAGCGTGGCGCGCTTCCCACCTGTGCCACTTCTCGTCACCCTCTTTGGCTGTTTACTCAACGACCTCAACATTCGTCAATTGTGACCGATTCCATTCATAAAGTGCGCTCTTGCCGCCGTGTGCGCTGAGTAGTGCTCAGTATTAAACACGCGTTGACTGCTCTATACAGGGTGGGATAGAGATCTCTACTCAACCCTGCAGGGTGACCCCTCTCATAGTGAAGGCGTTCACACTTGAGCTGCGGTTGTCCTGTGCCAGTAGTTGCATCATTAACCGTGCGGAATCCTTTTCAAACCATTACTATAGAAATGCAGAATTTTGCCATTAAGTTACTTTTCTTGGATTTAGCAGAATTCCACAATAGCTCTCTCAATAGCTGTAGCGATTGAGTACGATCTTTTACATTTTTGCGTTGTTAAATCGAATGACTCATAAGACGATAATTGAATGACCACTTAGTGTAGGACAATCATTGAATGTTTTAACTATAAAACTCTGCAATGTTATTTAATGCTGAGGGTGTTGACAAGCAAAGTAGCGGGTGTGTGGGGTTTAAATTGTCAACTCGTGCCCGCACTGCATCGTGTGGCGGGTTTCTGACAGCAGCAGCATCGCCACGACGCTCTCATTGCGCTTGGTGAATATCCGTGGCGGGTTCCTTTTCGTTTTTTATTCGTTGAATGAGACGTGACCCTCCCTCACCTGGCCACCCACTTGTGTGTGTGTGTGCCTTCAGGTGTCACAGCAGAGCTATTGCAGAGGGATGCTGCGATTATCCTGGCGTGGGCTAAGCCTAGACAGCGGCCCTCTGTCAATCCACAGCGGAGGTAAGAGCCCCCTATTCTGTGTCAGTAAATGGGTGGGGGGGTGGTTGATCATACTTCACCACGCTGGTCAGTACGAGTTAGTGTGAAGAGGAGGCAGCCCAAAGATCTGTTCAGATGTCACTCAGCACCGACGTTAGCCGTGGCCGGGAATCGAACTTTGATGGCAGCTAAGGGCCGGGCCACCGCTTCACGGGTGAACGGGCTGATTAGATGAGACGAAGGCGTTGCGTTTCATATCAGTGGCTACTCCTCCACGTGGCTGGGCGATTGAGAAACCACACCCACAGCAGTGCCCCAGTGTACCGGCACCCCCCCAGTGCTGGAGTCAACATTCTCTGGGCCCCGTTTTTCTTCACACGCCGCCCTGGATTTGGGCCCGGCAAGAAGCGCGTCGCCACCAAACGCGTTACGGTCAAATGTTGTAAGCGGCAGGTTTATCTAACTTCATATTTGACGACTTCCTCTTCCAAGACCTCCTGGCCAGTGTGGAGGAGTAGGCCAATTACCCTCACAGGGGCTCTCTGCAGCTCCCTCTCGTGGAGGCCCCATTTGCCGGCAGTGGCGTGAACAACCGCAGGGGCTGTACCTTTACCTTCTATCCACTTTTTATATTCAACATTTAATTAGGTCAGCAAGGCGGTGTTGACCTCTTACCCACACACGTTTCTGACAAGTACAGCAAGTGCACGTGTACACAAGTGTACTCCTGTGCTAGTTGCACGCCACTTCTGCTGTTTGTGTTTAGTTTGTTGTCGTTCCCCCACACCTCAGATTAGCACGGTTGGCTGTGTGTGGTGCTAAAGAAGTTAAACATACACACACGCGCATCCACGCACACAAACACGTACACACCCATTAACACACAGACATACAAAGACAAACACCCCCCGTATAGCCAAACAGGCTGTTGGGGCAAGTGCTGTTAGCGAGCACACGCACATCAAAGATCAAAGATCCCCCTTATAGCCTTAACAGACTGTAGGGGCAAGTGCTGTTAGCGAGCACCTATGAAGGCCGACACGGCACACGAGGGGGTGGGTGGCCAGCACCACGCCCGACCGCCTTTGTCTCCCTAGCGGCGATGTTTACCCATCGCACTAGGTACTCATTTTAGGCTGAGTCGACCTAGGGGAGGCCCGGGACCGGTTCAGATAATCGTCACTGGTGTTGGCCGTGAGCGGGAATCGAACTCGGGTGGCCGGGTTCATAGCGCAGCGCGCTAACCGCTGCACTATCGCTCCCCACGACACACGCACATACACACATACATACACACACTTAAACACATACACACACATTTAAACAAACACATACACACACATCCACACCCATACACACATACACCCACACACAAAGACACATACACACACACACTGCGATGGCAAAGTAATAAATGGAAGCGAGACCAGTGTTTGTCACGACAAGTATATATTCATTTCAAGTGCAAATACAAAACGAGGTAGACAAAATCTCTGGAAAACATTAATCTCGCTTTCCCTTCCCACACTTTGAGCTGCTTTTGTACAAACGATAAAAACCCCGAGGAGACCGAATTGTCACCGATCTACATTCACGAGTTCAGAAACCGCTATTTCTGGAGGTATTGTGGATGATGGAAATAAAGTGCTTGGCGAAGTTCATCATTTATCCGTACATTTCACGTGGTAACGGCTTGGCGCTACGGTTAGCGTGTCCATTGAAATGTGCACGCCCCGTACATAAAAAAGTAACAGATATGTAGTTTAAAAAATGCCGACGTATTCACAGTTCAATAAATAAACACTTTGCAACAGCGGTTACTTTTTTAATCCCCGAGACAACGCAAAATAAAAGCCCCGCATTTTACATGAACAGAGACAAGAACCGTACGGGAATACCTTGCCCGACCTCACTGAGACCGCACTCCGGCCTCGCGTTGCGGAGGATGCAATCTCGGTCTTCATTTGTAATGGGACAGTTCATTTTGCGGTCACCATCACAATGACGTTCCTGGTGCCAACTCTCTTGATGATTGGCCAGGGAATAAACAGCAACCCCAAGACATAATGGGTTGGTGCCGCCTGCATGGATCTTGGCTCCTGTTTCCCAGAATGGCTGGCGTGATTTTAAGCACTTTCGTGCTGGGTGTTTCAAGTCTTCGTGGATTAAAACTTGATTTGAAGCTTTCGTGATTGCATGAATTACTCTTTGGTTATAGTAGGTTTTTACCCTTTAAACTGGTACAAAACTGACACCTTTATACAAGGCATCATGTTTGCAATAACCACAACACAAGCAGTCAAAATGCAAATAAAAAGAAACAACTTTGATAATGATATGCACTGTCCTTGAAGTTGATTGGTCCACACCCGAGACAGTTTTTCTTAGAGCCTAGTCTCCATTGGTGTTGGACCAGAAGACGCCAAAAGGCGTACAACTCAAAAACAGCACACTATCAGAGTATTGAGAGCTCGGGGTAAGCATTTACACTATGAGACCTCCTTTGCCACTGGTAAAGGAGGTCTCATAGTGTAAATACTCTTTGGTTCTTTCGGTAAAGTCACGTAGAAAATAAATAAATTAAATAATAGAATACGACGTTTCGATTGCAACACAAGCAATCGTCATCAGGTAGAAAGCAAACCTAGTGAACTTAAAAATATTTTCTTTCTTCGTGGATTGTGAGGTCAGAGTTGCTTTAAATGTTTTCTATCTCGTCGGACGGCTGTCAGCATTGGACGGGCGTGCATGAGGCCTTGAGCTAGTGATTGCAGCTCTTTATTGTGTTGAGAATGTGGTCGTCGAGTGAGAATGTCGAGTCTATGGTGATTCCAATGATGTTCAAGTGATTTCAGAGGCTGGTGGTGGAGCCGGCGATGAATACATTTTGGGGGGCGGGCGACGCCATGGTGAGCCTCTACCTGGTGCCTTCGTAAAATGTCTCTCAAAATTAGTTTGATCTTGAGGGGAAGCAAAAGGTTAGACACGTGATCATGGATTTTAACCAGCGACTTATCTTGGTGGGGCGAGTGCCAGTTGTTACACCGGTGGTGGCTGCTGTGCGACCAGAGTGGCGGTGGCTGTGGTGGGACTGGTGGCGGTGGCTGCTGTTGGACTGGCTGCTGTTGGACTGGCTGCTGTGGGACTGGCTGCTGTTGGACTGGCTGCTGTTGGACTGGCTGCTGTGGGACACGCGGTGGCAGCAGCTGCTGTGGTGCTGACGGCGGCTTCTATGAGACCTGCGGCGGTGGTGGTGGTGGCTGCTGTAGGACTGGCGGTGGTTGCTGGTGGAATGGCAGCGGCTGCTGTGAGATCGGGGTGGTGGTGGTGGCTGCTCTGGGACTAGCGGCAACGGCTGTTGCGTGTCTGGCGTTGCCGGTAGCTGCTGCTGCTGCTGTTCCTGCCGTCGCACTTGCAGTGGCTCCGGCAGTTGTTCCCGTTGGGGCGGTCCGACATCTTGGGTTTCTGGAGATAAAGAAGATGATGGCGCTAAAGTCCAAACCGCTCGACATTGGGAGAATGAAACAAAACCGGTCTAAAGTATAAACAAGAAGATCGCTGTACTTCACCATTCCCTTAATATTAAATGATGCGCTGTCAGGGTGTACATTCTCCCTGGGCATTTCCACGCACACAGGACGGCGTTTCCAATCCATCCTTTACCTTGCGCGCCGGTGAGGAGAGCTGCTGTCCGGTAACTGGGTCCGGGGTCTTCCTTCGCCGAGTGGGGCCGCTTAAGGCACGACCAGGACGTCGCCTTGACGTGCTCCAGCGGGCAGTAGCTCTCCGCTGGCGGCGCGTTCAATTCTGGGGACCTGCATGCACGCACCAACGCGTCGCAAACCGTTAACACCTGCCTTTAAAGGAGACACTGCTGCTCGCACAAGACAATATCTTTCCAGTGAGCTGGTCTGGGGGACGGTTGTAAGTGCAGGTTAAAGTGGAGGGGAGAGAATGTGACTTACCGAATATAGAAGAGCACGTAGGCCTGCTTATTCATCACAGCCTTGGTGTCGACGTGCCGCACGTTGGAGTCGTTCATGCAGCACCATTGTCCATCGCTGATCTGCGCACAGTCAAAGCACAGCTACACTTGGTTACAATGTTTACACAACTGCACCCAGATTCCTCCGTTGATGTAATAACAACACGCAATACACACTCTAGACAACAAGTTCGTAAAGAGCATCACCCCTTTGTCAGAGCGTGCTACGGTTGCTGTGATGGTGCTGAAGTTACGAAACGATCTGCCTGAATATATCACTGCATGGATGACCTTGGACCAATTTCATCAGAATCAGAATCTTTATTTGTACTGAAAGAATTCGATGATCTACGAAGCTCTTAAACAAATGTCCAGTCGGGGCGGGTCAGAAAGTTACAACAACAACAAACAATACAACACCGATTGGAGTGCAAAGTGTAGAAATGCTATGGAAGTCACTAAATACAAATAAAGTATACACTTTAAGTAGAAATTGCATGAGTGCATCAAGACGCAAGAACATACACAAGACTTTTAATTATTCTTCCCTATCGGACATTGGTAACATTATGGGCGCATTGCAGATGTGCGTTGTTTTTGTTTGATAGTAACGAATGGAATTACCTTATTGTAGCAATAATAATGACCCCTGTTGGAGTTGGCTCCCTTGTGCACCAGCACCGAGTACAGGGAGTAGATCGCGGGCTCGCCCTGAGACGTTGAGGTGAAGGGTTGCATGTCCAGGTGCTCCGGGTAGGTGATGTTCTACAGGCAGCGCACAGGAGGGGGAGGCAGTGCACAGAGACAAATGTTAGGAGAGGAAACGGCAGGGGTGGTGGGGTGGGCAGCAGAGATGGGCACCATCTAAGTTACACGTCAAAGTGACGTGATGTCTCGCTAATTTGAGCGTTGAAGACGGTGCTCATCTCCTGTTCATAGCCCTGAGCAAGTGGTGGAAATTCTACAGTCACATGACGGGGGGCGAGTCTATCTGTCGGACCTATTCCAACATGGAGAGGCATTTTCTCCAGCGTTGAACTGACAAAGGGCTGTCATTAAGTAATTTAATTCGAACGATGTGGAGGGGCAGAATCGTTACCCGGTTGATCTTGACGCCGTAGAGGTTGTACCGCTTGATGGAGACGGTGAGGACGTTGGGCAGGCGGTGGAGAGCCATCGTCTTCGTCGCTTCCCCCTTGCAGCAGCACCTGCACGACAACAACAACGCCAGCCATCGCACGCGTTACCCAACTTTAAACAATAAGTCTACTCTCTTTTTGTTGTTTGTTAATTTTTCTTAATTTCTTAAAATAAAAAATTGTTACTTTTATTATATATTGTAAGTTATTTTCAATGTATTTACATAAAATTTTATTAAAATATTTTATTATAATTTGATTTAATCTGCAGACTTTTGAAGCTACAAATGATTCCAGGGTGTCAACACACGATGCCCAACTCACATTCCGCAGGTGTATTCGTCCAGCGTCTCCTTGTTAAAAAACTCTTCAAATGCCTCCACAAGATCTGATGAGTTCTGTTGGTCGACAGAGTGAAACGCAAATGAGGACTCTAAGAAGCATTCCATGAACATCTGCAGAATGTTATTGTGACGGTAATTCTGAAAACCCGCATCTTGTATGAAATCGTACGACCAAAAAAAGAGATCACGTACGCTACCGGCAGTGTGTTTGGATGTTAAGTGGCTGATTCAGGTAGGCGTGTGTGTGGTGGATGTTGGCACAGCAGGGAGCACAGGTGGTGCATCGGCCAGTCATCTCGGTCAACCCATGGCACCTGGGTCTGTCCCGTGACCTGCCAGCGGGCGTTCGACACTTCATATGGCCTTAAAGTGCACTCAGGCTGGCACAAGCACCGTGGTGACATCACCACCACTTAGTGGCGAATGGGGGTTGTTGTTCACGTATGCGATGTATGTACGTTTAACTTATTTCGCACCGTACGTAGATCTATAACTGTTAATCGATGGCTTCGTCATTGCTTACATTAATATGGAGTGCAATGTCCAGGCACGTGTCAAAGGTGTCGGAGTGGTTGCAGCACTGCATGCACTCCACTGCAAAACACAAGCACACACGCATTAGGAAGGGACGTCACATGTTACTTAGTAAAACTAAATGCACGCTCCCCACTGACATTGGTAATTGGTAGTTTTCACCAACTGGTAAAAGGTTATTCTGTGTTGCACGTGCGTGAGAGTGTGCAAACGCTGCGACGCGAGCACGTCTACACTGTGATGGTGCACTTGCTGCTCGCGGTGAACAAGTTTCTAGAGGAGTGCGCACAACTCACCACGTGATCGAAGGTAACCCCCGAAGATCTGGTAAATGAGGGTGGTAGCCTCCGTGTATCTGTCCAGCCTGCCAGTCACAGAGAACGACACCACACGGTGGTTACAGCAGCAGCAGTAGTAACACCTTTACCGGATGCACACACGTGTGTGAGAGTTGCACCATTGCCCGAGCTGTCGATTCACTCTTTCCCTTCAGCACTGCAACGCGTGCTCTGTAGCAACCAAACGTGGTCGCGTCTGCACAGGGCAGCCACCTTCACGGAACAGCCACAGAGCTGGGGGAAAGCTGGCAGCCATCACGCGGTGCTGTTGCCCGGCGCTTTTGTTGTGCTCGGCGTGCCACGTGCCGCTCGTCAACACGAGGAATGTCGTCACGGGGACACCGCACATCGAGACATCAATTTCCCGATATTTATCGGCAATGTGAAATGCACAAACAAAAGATGGCCCACGTCAGGGCCAAGGTGAAAGAACCGTGGTGTCAGCAGGGCCGGTCCTCTGCATCTCCCAGGTGTTCACACAAAAGTGTGAGTAGCTTTTCACAGACGTTGAAGTACAATCGTGCAGAAAACCGAGAGGAAGCCGTGAGGTACCAAACTGCAGAACGACTGCCGCATGTTGACTGGCGCGCAGTACTCACTCGCTGTGGCCATAGAGGCATGAGGCTTGCATGCCATCTACCACGTATCGCAGAAACTCGTGGGCATCTTCCTGTCTCCCAATGCGCAGGTGTTTGGCGATGCCTGCAGAGAAATGGACATGGGGACAAAGTGACAGGTACAGGATCTGATGACATCCTTAAAGAGCTCCCCAACATATATGGCAAAAGGAGTGGTGCAAAGGACTTGGAACACAGATGGAGAAAGATCGCGGGGGATAACTTCTCCTGCGAGTGCAAGTGTGAACGTAGTATTGGGACTCACGCGTGATGTTCTTAGTTATGACCTTGGGTGTCAGCACTCTCTGCGAGTTGTTGAACGTGCTGACAATGTGATGCTCCATGACACACATCAGGCAAAAGTCGCTTTGTTGGCCTGCGAACGAGAGCACAGGTGGCACAATCCGTCAGCGCACGCCACTTGCACTCAGCCCAGCTGGGGAGTAACAAGAAAGGCTAGAATCCTGGCACCAGCAACAATCGCAATGAATGTTGCGTCTAAGTACCAATTGCATCACATCTGTCCGACCTATTAAAAATTATCGCCACATGTGCTCGTGTTTATCAAAATCATAATATTTATACTGGTGGAATCCGATAAGCTAAGAGGTTTTGTTTAAAAAATGTCGAGTAGGGGCACTGGGTCAGAACATTACAACACCAAACAATACAAAAAACGATCAGAGTACAAAGTATTGGAAAGGTAAACAAATCACCTTTTAAAAATCTACAAATAAAACTAAACTTTTTTTTCATCTTCCCAGATAAAGCCCACTGAGCTATTAGCTTCTTCAGAAGCGACCTGGACCACAAATGATAGCTCAACGAAGTGGCTTATCACGTGGGAAATGTATCGCAGCAAAATAACTGACATAATAACCTAACCCATGGGTAAACGAGAGTGCCAGGGGGGAGGGTACTTACAGGTGCTGCAGTGCTCTTGCAGCAGCAGGTAGTTGGCGAGCGGCGGCGTGTAGGCGAGGCACTGCAGCGTGGCGTTGAGGAAGCAGGTGTTCCCCAGGTTGCGCAGGCCGGCACCCTTGCAGACGTCGCTCTCCCACCGGAGGTTCAGCCGCTCCGGTGCAAACAACGAGAGCCGTGCAGCTGGAATGCCGTCGTCCTCCTCTGCACAAAGGGTCGGAAGCCGGTGTCATCGCAGAGCGCTGCACTGCCGATGGGGCTGGCGTGGATATTCAGTAGCCCCAGCCAGCACCCGTACTGCTACTCTTAACCACGAAGATTTTGCTCCACATTTAAGTGTCAGGTTCAAGTTCGCGAAAAATATAATTTGCCTGTCGCGTTGGCTGCTGGGTGTTTTGAGCTCCCCGTGTTACTCGTGAACGGCAACAGCAGTGGCTCCAAAGCGGCCCTTGCGTTGGTGGCTGCCACCCTAATGAGATGCCACTGACGTCAGCGTGATTGCACACTCACCTTGGGGTGCAGGCACAGACACGCTGATGTTCTCTGTGGCTGGTACAGGGGAGGGCTCCGGCCGGCCATGGGGAAGGCAGCAGGGTTGCGTGCAGAGCCACTCGTCGGCCGCCACCAGCACCTCGTTGGACGAGGTGGGGGCCAAGACCGTGAGGTCGTTGCCGGACGAGGTGCCCTCTGCTCCGCACGCCACAGTCATGGTTGGGTCCTGCCACACAACGTAGTCAACACATCCACAATTACTCCTCCCATCTGGACTGGGATCCCAACACACGTGGGACTGTTTTATCACCATAAGAAATACAATTTTAGTCCATGAACCTATGGGCGATCTGCATGAATTGTCTCAGAAGCAAAAATATATTTACAGTATACACCTGTATTTTTAAAGTAACCCCAAACTCACTTTAACTCGTAAAATATTATATGAAGAACGGCCATTGACTAAAGATGAACTAATTCAATTTGTTGTTATGCATGCGAGAGAGAAGGCAGCTGTAGTTTAAAAGAGGTCATAAATGCATTTCAGAAGATAAATCGAGCATTCATGTTAATCAAATTAATTTTTAACATTTGTTAAAATTAAACTAAATAATCCTCCGTGATTTGTTCAAATAAATACACTAATCCTGATTTTTCGGCCACCCTCTTACAAACGACGTCATGAAGGGCCAACTGTGATGTGCTCTGAAAAAGGGGCATTAACTGAAACGTCGCTTTTATATATTTAAGAATACTTTATATATGTAAAACACGTTTTTATCAAAGTCAGAATATTTATACGGGAGGAATCCGATGAGCTATAAAGCTCTTTTTCACAGATGTCCAGTCGGGGCGGGTAAGAATGTTACAACAACGAACAACACAAACATCATAGGAGTGCAAAATACAAGTTGGCCCAAAAGTTAAGACACAGGGTTACTTAATTTATCTTAACACTGACATTACATAGTTCTCATTATTTGTTCTTAAAGTTAACAATTTAACTATCATTAATTTTGATAACATCCTCTGTGACTAGTTCAAATAAATACGGTAACTCTGTGTCCTGACTTTTGGGGCAATTTTATATAGGCGACGTTATGTAATTGATGTGATGTGCTCTGCAGAAGGGCCATTATCTGAAACGTCGCCTATCATTTTCCTGTAACAATTCCCCCCACTCGTGCACTCCCAGCGTTGTGATTGGCTGAGTGGCACCAGCGGGCCCCGCCCCGCCCGCCACCCGGGGCCCCGCCCCCTCACCTGAGGCTCCGCCCCCAGACGCGGCCCCGCCGCCGCCTGCGCGGCTCCCGTCAGCTCCGGCACGGCGACCCGCGCCGCGCCTCGGGCTTCATCCGGGGAGGGGGTCCCGGGCACAGCCCCGCGGGATCCCTCGCGGGGGTCATCATCTGCAAGAAGGAGAAGCACAGCGATCACATTTTGTACTTCGGACAAACACACGGCTCTACATTTCCCACGAAAGTTTAACATGGCACTGTTCAGTAGCCCCAGCCAGCAGCACCCGTGCTGCTACTCTTAACCAGAAAGATGTTGCTCCACATTAAAGTTTAAATCTCAAGGTAGCGAAAAATGTGATGCGCCTGTCACGTTGACTGATAGGTGTTTTGAGCTCCTCGTGTTACTCGTGAACGGCAACAGCAGTGGCTCCACAGCGGCCCATGCATTGGTGGCCGCCACCCTAACGAGAGGCCACGAGGTCGCGTGGTCGCACACTCACCTTGGGGTGCAGGCAGCACAGACACGCTGATGTTTTCTCGTGCTGTGGCTGGCACCGGGGAGGGTTCCGGCAGGCCATGGGGAAGGCAGCTGGGTTGGGAGCAGAGCCTCTCGTCTGCCGCCGCCAGCACCTCGTTGGACGAGGTGGGGGCCAAGACCGTGAGGTCGTTGCCGGACGAGGTGCCCTCTGCTCCACACGCCACAGTCATGGTTGGGTCCTGCCACACAACGTAGTCAAAACATCGACAATTGCTCCTCCCATCTTGACTTGGATCCCAACACACGTGGGACTATTTTATCACCAAAAGAAATACAATTTTAGTCCACGACCCGATGGACAACCTGCATCAAATGTCTCAAATATATAAACATAATCTATTTTTAAAGGAACCCCAAGCTCACTTTAACTCGCCAAATAGTCTATGAAGAAGAGGCCATTGACTAAAGACGAACGATTTCAGTTCGTCGTTACGTATGCAAAAGAAGGAAGCTGTAAACTTTTTAAAGATATTAACTTAATTTCAAAAGATAATTCGTGCATTAATCTTGAACTAAATAACAATCTGTTATTTGTTAACACAATTATAACCCGATGTGTCCTGATTTTTGGGCCAGCCTCTTATTAGCGACGTCATGAAGGACTAACTGTGACGTGCTCTGAAGCAGGGCCAGTGCCTGAAACGTCACCTGTTATATATTTAATCATACAGTATATATTTCGATTTAAAGCTTTCGTGACTGCAGGGATTCATCTTTTTGGTTCTTTACATTAATTACAGATAATAATAATAATAATGTGTAATTAATGTATACTGTATGGTAAAGTCACGTAGAAGGGAAGTAATAAAATAATAAAAATAAAACATAAAATAATTCTCACGACGTTTCGGCCACAACGCAAGCAGCCGTCCTCAGGTGAAGAACAGGTCTGTCGAGAAGACAGAGTCTGAATGACAACCCCAGGCTTGGAGCGTCTTTTTAAGCTGGGTTGGAGGTGGAAGAAGAGCGCCTTGACAAAATAATTTGCATATCAAGAGGAATTTAGCATATTTATGTAAAATGCGTAGGAGGTGGGCTGGGGGGTTTCAAAGTCATATTATGCCCATGCATTATGCAGGATTAGCAGCATCAAAGGGAGGGGGTAGGGGGTAGCATTAACAAAGAGAGGGAATGTTAATGCTACCCCCTACCCCCTCCCTTTGATGCTGCTAATCCTGCATAATGCATGGGCATAATATGACTTTGAAACCCCCCAGCCCACCTCCTACGCATTTCCCATAAATATGATAAATTCCTATTGATATGCAAATAATTTTGTCAAGGCGCTCTTCTTCCACCTCCAACCCAGCTTATATATATGCTAAATTCCTCTTGATAGGCTTAGATTAAAATTGTGACTAATTATTCGTTTGTTGTGAGACGAAAAATCAATGTTCTCCCTAAATATCCCCTGTGTTTGTATTTTATCTTTGCGTTTTGACACCCTCTATTATTGAATAATAAATAAACTATTCAGTTAATTTGTGCGAGATAATATTTTTTTTTTTTACTTCCAATAGAAATTGAAATAAAGGAGCAGAATCTGCTTTGAATTTGAACTCAGTGCAGTTTCACTTTGATGACTTTTGCTCGCACTTACGGTGAAGATTTGTTAAAATGAGTGAACACCGACCTTTCCCCTTGCGATCAATAATCAATATTCACTTTTTTTAATTCACATCAATTCAGAATCCAGTAAGTTATTGTAACTGAACAGGGGCGTCCACCCCTTCATGAAGTTGAACCAGGCAGCCGCATGGGGCCCCAAGTTAAGTGGGGCGCCAAAAATTCGAGCAAAACACATTCCTGCGGAGGGAGCTGGTAGTAACGGTCAATGGCCAGGGTCAACGGCAGCGTGGTGTATTCCGCAAATATGCCCGACTGTGAGGGCAGGCACAAGCCGGTGTGAGTAGTTTAAACGTTGATACAGGTTGGCACAACAGGTTCCACACTGCCCACCAGGGATTATTTGTCTGTCGTGCATCAGAATGCAGCCCACCCATGCCCCCCCCCCCACCGACCGCCGAGCAAGGCCACGATTGGTTGAGGATGTCGGGGAGGGTGGGGGGAAGGTAAACACGCCCAATCATCCAACTTCCCTCCCCCCCCAAAACGCCGAGCGGGGCGGCCACTGGTAGAGGTGGGGTGTAAACACGCCCACTCATGCAATCCCCTCCTTACAGAACACCGAGCAACGCCGCGATTGGTTGACGATGTCGGGGAGGGTGGGGGGGAAGGGTAAACATGCCCACTCATCCAACTGCCCCCCCCCCGAACGCCACGCTGAGTGTGAGAGTGTGTGTGTGTGAGTCTGAGAGTGTGAAAGTAAGTGTTTGTTTGAGTCTGAGAGTGTGAGAGTGTGTGTGTGTTAGTCTAAGTGTGAGAGTGAGTGTATGTGTGTGTGAGTCTGAGAATGTGAGAGTGAGTCTGAGAGTGTAAGGGTGAGTGTGTGTGAGTCTGAGAGTGTGAGTGTGAGTCTGAGAGTGTGAGATGTCAGTGTCTGTGTGCGTTTGAGCGTGAGTGTATGTGTGTGTGAATTTGAGACTGTGAGAGTGAGTGTGTGTGAGTCTGAGAGTGTGAGAGTTGTGTGTGTGAGTTTGAGAGTGTGAGAGTGAGTGTATGTGTGTGTGAGTCTTAGTTACCTAGAGTGTTATACAGGTAGGAACAACAGGTTCCACACTGCCCACCAGGGATTATTTGTCTGTCTGTCGTGCATATCCGGAATTCTGCCCACCCATGCACCTCCCCGAGGCCTCGGCAAGGTAAGGTAAAAGTTAAAAAGTAAAAACAACGAGCCTACCTTTACCCTACCTTTTACCTTACCACAATACAATTACTCTACCCTTACCTTTTACCCTTTAGCAGGTAAGGTAAAAGCAAGAGCCTACCTTTTACCCTTACCCCATACAAATTACCCGATTAGAGGGTAATTACTAGGGTACTACACATGAAAAAGGTTTATAACGGTAAATGCTAGATAGCGCGCTATATTCATATAGAGTACTCTCGATGATTCCAATTTTACACGCTTGTCATTGTTGTCGTTGTCGTCATTGTCATCGCTGTCGTATCCTCAAATCTTGTAACTCAATTTTAACCCACTTCCTAATGTGGTATCGACTGCACACTTGGTATACTCATGGCATACTGATGACAATACTATATTCTATCATGAAAATTTTTTTACATGATTTTTAATATGTTATGTTTCGGCTTGGGTCTAATTGTCCACGCTCAACTGACGTTGGCTGTAAATCACCACGGTCCCTTACGTTATGGCAAGCTTCGGGGCCACTTCCTGGAGTCGTGGAGTTCTGTTATTACTCGTACATTTAATGAAAGCGTGTTTTAAAAAAATATTTTGTAATATTACTTATTAAATGGAGGCCATGGACTGCGCCACTGGAGCTTTTAGCGGTAAACAAGGTACCGTATTTACCGGGTAATACTTCGCGCTACATTTACCCTACCGGGTAATTCTTCCGAGCTACCTTTACCCTACCCTTGACCTTACCCCTTGGCATGTTGACACCTTTACTCTTTTACCCGGTAAAAAGGGTAAATTACCTTACCTTGCTGAGGCCTACTCCCCACCGAACACCGAGCTACGCCGCGATTGGTTGGCGATGTCGGGGAGGGTGGGGGGGAAGGGTAAACACGCCCACTCATCCAACTGCCCCCCCCCCTGAACGGCGCGCTGTCCAACCAAGTTCCTACCTGCCCACTCCGAAGGAACGTGTTAAGGGCACCACGGGGTGAGCAGCCCCTCCCCACCCAGCCCCACCCCTCCCACCTCCCACCCTCCCTACCTAGCCCCACCCTCGCCACCCAGCCCCTCCCTCCGAACCCAGCTCCTCCCTGCACGACGGACGGACAAAATAATCCCCTGTGGGCTGGTGTAACCAGGAGGTTACTACCAGTAAAAATACAAATAAAATAACGACGATGTCATTATTTCAATTCCTGTGCGCATACAGCGGGAATATGAATTACAATTCACTTCTCAACATTCCTGAGAATGTATTGGTTGGACAGACGGGCGAACTGGACAGACCGAATCATTATTCCTCTGTTTAAAAAAAATCCGCTTAAAACATTAAGTTATCATCATACCTAAAATCGGGGGATAATGTTTCCCAGTTTACCAGAAACCTCAGCCTGGATCTGGCCTTGGGGTTTGGGGCGCCCATTGGGTGGTTGGCCGAGGGCGTTGCCAGTTGCTGGCAGCAGCTGCTCTAGGGCCGCTCCTCTCACTGAGTGCAAATTCATTTTGGTAAAAGCGATTTTCTGCTCACGTTTTGAGCGAAAATTGGTGAACACAACGACGCGTCCTTCCGGGTTATAAACAGCTCATTTTTTAGTATTCACATAAATAGGGAATCCAGTAAGTCAATACATAAAATAATAATGTAATAATTACCACAACAATTGCGCATTTGCAACAAACATAAATCAAGAACTGCGTGTTTACATTGTTTCATTCACTCTCACAGGTGAGAAAAAAATAAAAGTTTGCAAAACTAATTTTCGATTGATACTTTTCGTTTACTTTCTTCCCGACAGAAAGGAAACTCCAACAGCTATTAGAATGATGAAGGTGATTTACAATTTTTCATTCTTTATTTTCAGGTTTGTTATACATTACTCTCGGAGAAGATAAAATTACATTCGGTACGTCACATTCCGTAATTTTGAGTTCATTCAGATGAATCCAGAAGAGTCGCAGACGAAAGAAGACGTCGATTAAACGGAGGAAGACGGCAGAGGTGGCGTCATCGACAAAGTCACAACACAGTGGATCGTTTACGACGTGAAAATACCCGTCACGTGACGGGCAATTACGCGATGCTCCTCACCAGGACTAAAGCGGGAAGTTATTTTTCCCCAATAACATTCCTTAAATAATGATCAAATAGAGCAAGTCAAGATCTATAAGTATCTTGGGGTCATCCTTGATTCAAAACTGAATTTTGAAGATCACATTGATTATATTGGTAAAAAGACAACAATAGGTTTTCTGTATCGACACCAGCACTGCTTCCACCCTATGTTCCGTTTGGAATTGATAAAAGCTACCGTACTGCCTCTACTTGATTACTGTGACATCGTGTATAAATCAGCCCCAAATACTGCACTGAAGAAGCTTGACTCAATGTATCACTCGGCCTTA